TAATTTCGTTAAAACTAAATCCAAATACAAGAAAGATTATAGGCCTTAAAGGCAGAGTAAGTGATTTCTGGCAGCCAATGTTGATATTTGAAATCACCAAAACAAACACGCCCCTACCCCAAAAGGGTCTTGCCCCTATTTTGATAGCTCTGACAGAAAACTGCTGTCGGGTTCTATTTATGACGTGCTGACACACATTTCAAATGGTGTTCAACGGTGGTTTGATCGCGTCCAGTGTAGGCAGACTTCAGCTGTTGTAGACACGGTGTTACTCAGCTATCGAGAAGAAACAAAGCAACCTCGGCGTCCGATCGCAGGCCTCCGCTCCTCGAGTTCTCTCCAGCGCTGGAAAGCTAATCTGATATTTACACGGGTCCTACTTCTTGCCTTATCGTTCTGCAGACGTTTTCCTCTTTTGTTTTTTATCCGCCATCTCTATCTCTCCGTCGCTGGGCTCGGCTAATGTCCGTCCCGTGCACTGAACGCTCTCTCCTCCACATCACGAGTAGACACGCCCCTTATTGCTGATTGGCTACAAGTTTGTTTTGCTATTCGGCCCGAATCAGTTTTCTAAAGTGTTTTTGAAAAATCACATACCCTGCCTTTAATAGTCAACATACTGTAAGAGTAGAGCTTTAAAATAACATGTCTAATTATTTGCTCGTTTCATCAATTTGATAAGAAATGTTTGACTTTTTAGAATTTTTGATCGCAAACTTAAGTTATTCTGGCAAATCTGGTCTGAGCATCATGAGACATTGTTGAGATCTCTTTCGAAACTAAAGGAGATGCATTTGAAATTACTGCAGTCTTTTTCTCAGCAGAAACATCTAAACGGAGATGTTAGCAAAGGTCTCAGTTTACTCTCCATTTTTATTTTGCTGATGCAACACAGTGAAGCATCTTGTAGGAGCTTTATTGTGATAGTCTGGATGATTTTCTGAAGCTAATATGTGCTTGATTCAAACGTCTTTGAGCCGCAACTAAAACTCTTTTTGGTAAACTAAAACCAAATGAAAGTATGATAGACACTATTGAGTTAATAATAGTCAAAATATGGCAAGAGCCTTACATGGAAACCAGCTTAGATCATTTGGACATTGGACAGTTTGATGAGAAATGTTTGAGTTGAGACTTTTGATCGCAAACCATAGTTATTCTGCCAAATCTGGGCCGAGCATCATGAGACATTGTTGAGAACTCTTTTGAAACTAGAGGAGAAACGTGAGATTAGTGGGGACTTTTTGCAGGAGAAACATCAGAAGTAGGAGACTTTAGCAAAGGCCTAAATTTACTCTCCATTTTTATTTTGCTGATGCAACACAGTGAATCATCTGGGCTTGTAGGAGCTTTAATGTGATTGTCAGATTGATTTTTTTCCAGCTGATGTGTGATTTATTATAAATGTCATTGAGTCTAGTGTGTGTGGTCTCACCGTACCGCGTTCCCAGCGCTCTTACATCACTTTAAACTCATCAGATCTGAGGGGGGTCACTTTACTGACTCGATCCTGATCCACTGATGCACTGATGTGTGTACGGAGCCTTCGAGGGGGAAAATCTGCTGGTATGTTATCCTCAAATGATCCCAAAATGAGCAAATAGTTCTTGTAGCCTGTAAACGTTGTGTGAGATGAGAGCTGCTGGAAAGTGGGGAAACTGAGTAAATCCCAGCAGTGCGATGCTCCATCCGTACGGCTGATCTCAGCCTTCATTAACGGCTGTGTGACTTTCATCAAAGGCAAACAAATAAATGTCAGAGAAATTGAATGATTTCCCAGCATGCTGAGTGCCATAGACCCCCCCTCTGCCATGGAAAAGCTGAATGTTGATGCTCTGGGTTTTGGTGTCTTGGAGAGAGAGGGATTTGGGCAATGGTGCTCTGGTTTTTCTACTAGCAAACCCTATAATGCATAAAAATGTGTAGAAATAAATAAACAAAAATATAATACATTTCTAAAGAATTTACCTTGAGAAAAGCCAGTTACAGATGCATGGCTATTATGGAATTGTGTATGTTCGGAAATAAATATATTTGTGTTGTATAAAATAAAATATATTTTGTATGCATATCACTTGAAAAAGTGGCTTTTGTGGGCTTCCATATAAATACATCAATTTAATACTATAAATAAATTAAACATTATTTCTAATGCATAAGAAAGGCCAGAGACAAATGCATGGCTTTTGTGGGCTTCCATGCGTTTGTAAATAATTAAATAAGTATAAAAATAAGTATATTGATTTGATATCATTTTTAATAATATTTTAATGTAAAATTTTTGTTTTGTGAATTAGGCCTGAAATATAGTCTGCTGTGAATACTAACAGATTATATAACACAACTTCAGTATGCACTGAATTCTCAGTAGTATATATAGAGATGTGGCATGCATTAAAGTGACTTTTACTGTCAGTTTTCTTTCAGATCAGCGACTGTCACATCAGAGCAACAGTCTGAAGACAATCTTGCTGAGCAAGTAAGTAAAAGTGAAGCTGTTGACATGTTTATAGGAGCTACCTGAAAAATAACACATCTGGTTTAAGGGTACAAACATTAGCAGGAAGCTCTATCGCCCCCTTGAGGACTGAGGTTTGCTGCCGCCACAGCAGCTCAAGAACACACAGTAAGTGCGTTTAAGTCGACCGCCAAGTGTTCGCGTGCTTGCACAAAGTGTTTTTGGCCTTAATCAGCGATTTGTATTTCAACACAACTCTGAAAATCAATGGGCGAGCGGATGGACTGCAGTTCAAACGCATCCATTCATTACAGCGTGATTTCCAGAAGATTTTTCCACACATTTTTGAGTCTGCTTCCCTGTGGAATGGTTTTCCTGTCTGCACGGGAGCAACATCAGACGCAAGTGGGCGAAAGAGAGCCAAACGCCCGGCTAGAGCTTTCATTGTTCACTCACACACACACACACAATCAAATATCCCACACACTGCAGGAAATGGTCAGATGTTTAATTCATTCAGTACAGGGTTTATTTTTTCTCTCTCAGTGCAAAACAACAAGAGTTCTTCTATAACGTGTGCTGGTCGTGTACAGATGCTTCTGTGGATTTGAAGGGAGGCCCTCGAGGATGATACGAGGATGATGAGGATGATGATGTGGGGCTCGTTCAGGTCAGCAGCAAAGAAACCCAAAATAAACTCATATACAAAAGCTCGGCTCCAAAACCTAGTGAGCAGCATCCTAATATAAACAGAAACTCTGTGCACCACAAAAACAGTGAAGTGCACAGGAGAATCAACTGACAATTGAGTTTGACATGCTGAATATGTACAAATATTGGGTACTTATTGCATGAAATATATTTAAATAGACATTTCTCTTAATTCTGTGGAAGCTTGTTTCTGCTACTAATAAATTAAAAAGGTAATTGTGACTTTTTATCTTACAATTTGGACTTTTTCTTAATTGCAATATTTAATTCAGAATTGTGAGTCATTAACTTGTAATTCTGAGGAAAAAAGAGAACTGCAAGATATAGAAATCTCTGATTCTGATTTTTTTCTGATTTTTTTTATCTGATTCTGAGTTTACATCTTGCAATTCTGTTTTTTTTCACCACATGATTCTTGCAATTCTTTAAAAAAAAACAAGATTTGAGACTAAAACCATGATATTAAAATCATAATTACCATTTTTTTAATCCCATGGATGAAACAAGCATTGTGTTTAATCTATCATCTTCAATAAAAAAAATACATAGGCATATATATATACAGTGGGTACGGAAAGTATTCAGACCCCCTTAAATTTTTCACTCTTTGTTATATTGCAGCCATTTGCTAAAATCATTTAAGTTAATTTTTTTTCCTCATTAATGTACACACAGCACCCCATATTGACAGAAAAACACAGAATTGTTGACATTTTTGCAGATTTATTAAAAAAGAAAAACTGAAATATCACACGGTCCTAAGTATTCAGACCCTTTGCTCAGTATTTAGTAGAAGCACCCTTTTGATCTAATACAGCCATGAGGCTTTTTGGGAAAGATGCAACAAGTTTTTCACACCTGGATTTGGGGATCCTCTGCCATTCCTCCTTGCAGATCCTCTCCAGTTCTGTCAGGTTGGATGGTAAACGTTGGTGGACAGCCATTTTTAGGTCTCTCAACCCACTGTATATATATATATATATATATATATATATAGGCCTAAATGTAAAAAAAAATTCCAACCATTTAGATTATACAGTTTTAATAAACTATTAAACTATTTCATGTGACACATGTTTGTCAGTCATACATAAATGAAACAGGTCAGATGTCTGTAACAGCATCAAATAAATACAAAAATTAATAATAAATGATGCCATGATTTTCATTTGTGTACGACTGACAAATATGCATCACAAGTTCATGAGTATGTGTAACTGTGTAATCCAAATGGATGGAAATGTTATATGGAATTCAAATCTTAAATTTAGGCCTTGAATATGTTTTTGAATGTGGATGACTGCCTTTCACAATGCATTCTGTGATTGTATTATCTGTGAAGGGCACAAGCAAAGCTGCTCTCGTATTTGGCCAAAATGATGAATTGTGAAGGAATCTGTGCTCCCTTCAGATGCCGTCTAGTTAGGCAGCTCACTAGGTTTTGGAACAGACTCACAGAAACATGGATGCCAAAGCTGTTGATCATACAATGAATCAGAATGTGGGCAAACACAAGCGTGACTCTAGTCTTCTTCATTCAACTCAACCACAAAATACGTCCATTAACAAAATGACTTGTATATATTTCTATATTTATATATCTAAAGTGCATTATAGTACAAAAATATAGAAGGTCAGCAGCACCTTGATACCTTTACAAAATAAATACACCATTCAAACAAAATAAATTACAGGAATTCTGACACCGTAATAGAGGCATAGTCCTAAAAAATAAAAATAAAAAAGAATAAAAAGGAAAACGAAAAAGAAACAAAGCAAAGTATTCACAAGGCACCAAATGTGTGGCTCCGTGGAGCTGTAATAATGCTTTAGCAGTATCGTTAGTTGTCTTTGTCATTGTTCGGGCGCACTGAGAATATTTACAGACAATAAATATTTTCCTCTCTCTTTTAGATGAACATTTAGGTGTCCATTTCAAATGTCCTCACGGATCTGAAAGAGAAAAAAGAAAACGGCATTGATTTAAAATGAGCAGCAGTAGTTCACTTCAGCACGTACTCAGCTAAACTTAAAGTAAAGTACGTGTCATCTCATTTAAGAGCTCTGTTAAGTATCACGGATATACTTGTGTAGTTTTTGTTCGTTTTGTTTATTTTTGTTTTCTGTTTTCATTTTTAGTATTTTAGTTAAAGTTTTAGTAATTTTGTTGTGTACACTACACAACAAAATTATTTTCATCATTTTATTAGTTTTTTTTATTAATTGATTTTAGTTTTACTTTTTTTTAGTATTTCAAATAATACTAAATTATAAATGTTAATAATGTATATTTATTTTATTTTTTTCAGCTCATGTTTATTTCATACCAAGTAATGGAAATGATTTTTTTTTGCTTTAGTCAAGGTTATTTTATTTTTAGTTTATTTGATACAGTATAAAAGGTTTTGTTAATATTTTGAATTAGAGTTTTTGTATATTTTCTGTGTTCTAATTTAATTTGAAAGTTTTAGTAATTCTGTTGTGAAGTCTTTTTTATATTAGTTTTTTAAAAATCATTTTATTGATTAGTTTTAGTTAATTAAGTTTTAGTTATTTAAGTACTTCAAACCGACCAGCTGCAATTAAACAAAATATTTTAAGTTCAATCTTATTTATTTTATTTGAATTTTAAGCAAATATAAGATTATAAGATTTACCGTTGTCAAAGACTGACAGTGTTTTAGTGCTGCTCCAGGTGGAAAGCGCTGGTGAACTCCTGCAGCGATCGAGCCCTCCTCTTCCTCTTCTCCCCCTCCCTCCTCTTCCCCGCGCGGCCTTTCTTCTTCCTCTTGCCGATGGCCTTCAGCGTGCTCTCCTTGTACGTCTGGGACTTGTTGGTTTCCTGCGGGAGGTTGGTTCCCTCCTCGTCCTCCAGACGGAAGCTGATCGGCAGGTTCTTGGTGCCTCCGGCGGGTTTGGGGTGGGCGGTTCCCGTCCCTATGGACACACCCACTCCCATCGGCATGGCAACCGTGAGGCCGCCGCCCCCTCCGCTGCTGGCCATGCCTCCTCTGGGCTGCGGGACGTCCCGGATCTCGGCCGTGTGAACATCTTGCAGCAGCTCCTGCAGCCACATGCGCCTCTTGAAGTCCTGCAGCGTCCGGCCCTTATCGTGCATCAGCTGAGCGTGAGTCACTGAACGCCTCCTGAAACAGACAAACATTTGGGTTCAGAATTGCATTTGACAACTCGAAAACACTGCTCCATTCAAATAAGAACATCGGTCTTTGCAATAAAAACAGCTTTGCTTTTTGGCTGATGTCACCTTCAGTTTTAAATTGCAATGCCCACTTTTTCACAATCCAATCAACTCCCAATTAAATAACAATCCTGTTTCACTCAGAAATGTGTCAGATTACAGAAGTAAAACGGGTTAATAATACAAATACAATAATATATAAAAATTATATATAATATAAAAAATCTAATCAAAATAAAGTCATAAAATATAATAATAAAAATAACATACATACACACACATACATATTAATCAAATTGATTCCAGTTCACAGTTCAAAATTATATATAATAAGTAATAATTATAATAAAATATAATAATACAAATAAAGATATAATATTATATTAAATATTATACAAATATTAAATATTAGGCTATAAAAATAAAATATATAAAATAAACTTTATTTGACTTAAAAAGTAAATAAACAATAGATAAACATATAACACAAATAAAGTGAGAAATATAATTATAATTAAAAAAAGAAAAATTAATAATAAATGATGCCATGATTTTCATTTGTGTACGACTGACAAATATGCATCACAAGTTCATGAGTATGTGTAACTGTGTAATCCAAATGGATGGAAATGTTATATGGAATTCAAATCTTAAATTTAGGCCTTGAATATGTTTTTGAATGTGGATGACTGCCTTTCACAATGCATTCTGTGATTGTATTATCTGTGAAGGGCACAAGCAAAGCTGCTCTCGTATTTGGCCAAAATGATGAATTGTGAAGGAATCTGTGCTCCCTTCAGATGCCGTCTAGTTAGGCAGCTCACTAGGTTTTGGAACAGACTCACAGAAACATGGATGCCAAAGCTGTTGATCATACAATGAATCAGAATGTGGGCAAACACAAGCGTGACTCTAGTCTTCTTCATTCAACTCAACCACAAAATACGTCCATTAACAAAATGACTTGTATATATTTCTATATTTATATATCTAAAGTGCATTATAGTACAAAAATATAGAAGGTCAGCAGCACCTTGATACCTTTACAAAATAAATACACCATTCAAACAAAATAAATTACAGGAATTCTGACACCGTAATAGAGGCATAGTCCTAAAAAATAAAAATAAAAAAGAATAAAAAGGAAAACGAAAAAGAAACAAAGCAAAGTATTCACAAGGATCCAAATGTGTGGCTCCGTGGAGCTGTAATAATGCTTTAGCAGTATCGTTAGTTGTCTTTGTCATTGTTCGGGCGCACTGAGAATATTTACAGACAATAAATATTTTCCTCTCTCTTTTAGATGAACATTTAGGTGTCCATTTCAAATGTCCTCACGGATCTGAAAGAGAAAAAAGAAAACGGCATTGATTTAAAATGAGCAGCAGTACTTCACTTCAGCACGTACTCAGCTAAACTTAAAGTAAAGTACGTGTCATCTCATTTAAGAGCTCTGTTAAGTATCACGGATATACTTGTGTAGTTTTTGTTCGTTTTGTTTATTTTTGTTTTCTGTTTTCATTTTTAGTATTTTAGTTAAAGTTTTAGTAATTTTGTTGTGTAGTGTCATCATTTTATTAGTTTTTTTTATTAATTGATTTTAGTTTTACTTTTTTTTAGTATTTCAAATAATACTAAATTATAAATGTTAATAATGTATATTTATTTTATTTTTTTCAGCTCATGTTTATTTCATACCAAGTAATGGAAATGATTTTTTTTTGCTTTAGTCAAGGTTATTTTATTTTTAGTTTATTTGATACAGTATAAAAGGTTTTGTTAATATTTTGAATTAGAGTTTTTGTATATTTTCTGTGTTCTAATTTAATTTGAAAGTTTTAGTAATTCTGTTGTGAAGTCTTTTTTATATTAGTTTTTTAAAAATCATTTTATTGATTAGTTTTAGTTAATTAAGTTTTAGTTATTTAAGTACTTCAAACCGACCAGCTGCAGTTAAACAAAATATTTTAAGTTCAATCTTATTTATTTTATTTGAATTTTAAGCATCTTTTTTTTAGTTACAGTTTCAGTCAACCGTAATAACCCTGCAATGAATTCATAAGATTCGTCAAAAACATTGTGTGTGAAACGCAAGTTAAATGTTTCGTTAAATACTGCTGTTTATTTTTTAATATTTAGTTTTATTAAATGTATTTCATGTAAATCTATATGCTTTAATATAATGAACAATATTTTCAAAGTATACCTCAAAGCATTTATCTCGAATTTAAATCGTATTATCTCAAAATGAAAACATGCAATCAAAACAATTTAAGAAAAATACAATCAATTACAAATTCAAAAGACAAAAGTGAGTTTTAATTTCTAAATGCTAGCTTAGTTTTGTTAGTATTTTGATGACGAGTGGTTTGAAAGGATTTACCGTTGTCAAAGACTGACAGTGTTTTAGTGCTGCTCCAGGTGGAAAGCGCTGGTGAACTCCTGCAGCGATCGAGCCCTCCTCTTCCTCTTCTCCCCCTCCCTCCTCTTCCCCGCGCGGCCTTTCTTCTTCCTCTTGCCGATGGCCTTCAGCGTGCTCTCCTTGTACGTCTGGGACTTGTTGGTTTCCTGCGGGAGGTTGGTTCCCTCCTCGTCCTCCAGACGGAAGCTGATCGGCAGGTTCTTGGTGCCTCCGGCGGGTTTGGGGTGGGCGGTTCCCGTCCCTATGGACACACCCACTCCCATCGGCATGGCAACCGTGAGGCCGCCGCCCCCTCCGCTGCTGGCCATGCCTCCTCTGGGCTGCGGGACGTCCCGGATCTCGGCCGTGTGAACATCTTGCAGCAGCTCCTGCAGCCACATGCGCCTCTTGATGTCCTGCAGCGTCCGGCCCTTATCGTGCATCAGCTGAGCGTGAGTCACTGAACGCCTCCTGAAACAGACAAACATTTGGGTTCAGAATTGCATTTGACAACTCGAAAACACTGCTCCATTCAAATAAGAACATCGGTCTTTGCAATAAAAACAGCTTTGCTTTTTGGCTGATGTCACCTTCAGTTTTAAATTGCAATGCCCACTTTTTCACAATCCAATCAACTCCCAATTAAATAACAATCCTGTTTCACTCAGAAATGTGTCAGATTACAGAAGTAAAACGGGTTAATAATACAAATACAATAATATATAAAAATTATATATAATATAAAAAATCTAATCAAAATAAAGTCATAAAATATAATAATAAAAATAACATACATACACACACATACATATTAATCAAATTGATTCCAGTTCACAGTTCAAAATTATATATAATAAGTAATAATTATAATAAAATATAATAATACAAATAAAGATATAATATTATATTAAATATTATACAAATATTAAATATTAGGCTATAAAAATAAAATATATAAAATAAACTTTATTTGACTTAAAAAGTAAATAAACAATAGATAAACATATAACACAAATAAAGTGAGAAATATAATTATAATTAAAAAAAGAAAGAAAAAAAAAAATATATATTTACACCCACATAAGTTTACATATTGCATATAAGTGTATTTTTCACATTGAAAATGGCAAATTGTGTTTCATTATTCTTTTAGGCATAAGATGTAGTGCCTAACAATTAAAAAATAATAATTTGAGAGTAAAGGAGAAAAATACGTTTATATACAGGACATATTTTACTGAATCAGTTCTTAATAGCTTGTAAAATTTAGTTTTTGAAGTAAATTTATCGTTTTAAGGATTTTTATCTCTTTTTACTGTAAACTGATCAGGATCACAATAATAAAGTGATTTCATGCAGTCAGGCTTGAACTCATAGCGCGTTTGAACCCGTGACCTCAGCGTCACTAACTGTGTTATGATTGTGTGTAAATCACAGTTGCCTTCAGTTTCACAGATCAATGAGTGTGTCTCTCTATAATTCATTCTGTTTGCTGCAATCTTATTAGCTCTACACACACACACACACACACACACACAGGTTTGTTTTTGTGTAAAGTGGGGACTCTCCATAGGCGTAATGGTTTTTTGCCTTTAACCTAAATCCAGTCTGTGATCAGTGAGTGTCTGTACCGTGGCCCCTGTTCAATGTGTTTTTAGTTAAATCCAGGGGGTTTGAGAAGGTCTGGCCCTCATCCAACACTTCGCTGGTGCCCGTTTCCAGATCCTGCATCAAACCCAAACAAACCAGCAGGAGTGCTGATGTGAAGCTCCTTCTGACGCGCCTCCACTTTTAAACATAGTACATCAAAACTGACACGATCCGAAAGCGGCAACAGCCAATAATCACAGGCTGAGCTGATGAAACAGGCAGCTTAAGCACTCAGTGCAATAACTCTAATTAATGGTGCCATTGTGTCTCGGCTTAAATCATACAGAGGTCCGTCCCGTCAGCCGCACGGCTCTCTGCTACCGTGTGCACTTTTGGATGCTCAGCTCCGTCCAAACGTCTTGAAACAATTACACATATCTCACAGCCAAATAAAGCATAATTCAGTGCTGTCTGAAAATATCCAGTAGTCGCTCGGGTTCAAACGCACACGCCGGCGTGAACACAAGCGGGCAGCAGAGGGCATCAAAGCCTGGTCACATCAGGACACACTAACACAGCAAATCAGTGAACAGCATGGCATTCATCTGTGGATTTTACTAAAGATTTTCACTCTGGAATGATGACTATGGCTGCAATAACTAATAAAAACACTGTTAATGAAAAGAGTTGACAATAGTAACCAATAATACTATTTTAATTGATTTATTTATATGATATAAATATGTATGTATGTATATATATATACACACTTCTTTTTTTACCGTACATTGTGCTTATAACTTATAGGTGCTAAGAATAAATGATAAACTGTAGGTGCTACAAATAAAATTGCCCTTTTGATAATTGACAGATTAATTGATCATATCAGATTATCAGTATAGTTTTTAGTTGCAGCCTTGATGCCTAGGAGCACGAATAAAAATCACCAAAAATGCATTTCCATGAGTCTCCTGGCAGAAATGGACCTCCATCACCTGCATCTGCAGTCTGAAGCTCAGCTGATCGTGTGTCTGTTCAAACAGGTAAATGAGGCTCTGTTCTTCATCTTCTGGAGCATCTGAACCCGCCGCACACAAACAGCCCTTGTCTCCAGGCTGGTTAAACCCATCCGTGAGATCATTGCTTGCCAGGCCATGGAACGATGAGTTTTCCTTTCTTTGGAAAGTGGCTTTATTCCTCTCCGGTGGCTCCTAAATAACACTGTGCCTCCTGGCAGCTTGTGTTCTCCTCTTCTCTGTCACCTCTTATTATTTTCTTAATGTACTGGGACAGATTTACGAGCAAGGAACGTCCTGAGAGAGCAAACCTTTCCCATGAAAGCCCAAACGCCAGATTCTGAGCTCGGGACAGACGCTCACACCATATCTATCTATCCATCTATCTATCTATCTATCTATCTGCTTATCCATCCATTTATCTGTTTTGCTCAATACAGGTGGACTGATGAACATGTTTTGAGGTTTATAAAAGAATGATGTTTTTTCATCCTGTAGAAACCGATTCAAACAGGTTTCATGAATGTTCAAAAGCTTGTTTTTTTCACTTGTACTCGTTTTAGTTGACTTTAGTTGACGAGGAGCACTAAAGCGAGCGGGAGGGGAAACTCTTAGCGTGGCATCCTTCCAGCTGTTCCTTTTTAGCATACCTGAAGATAATTGCTGCTTTGTGCTGCTTTAATTAAAAAAACAGGCCAAGAGAGAGTGAGAGCGAGACCTGCTTTCACCCTCATCCGCGATGCATGCGGTCTGAAAGATCTCCGGCTCCGTGCGTTTCATCTTCGCAGGCGCAGCTGGCTCGGGTTCAAGTCAAACTCCAGTAGGAGGCATTGTCCTGGACGGCAGATGGACTTGTCAGCATTAGCTAGTTATAAAGGGTGAACGCCCTTTCTGATGTGCCGTGAGATCACTGCGATCAAAGCGCTAAAGTGAGCGCTGCTGAAAGAAGAACGTGTGTTGTTTGGCCACTGGCTGGATTCATGCGATACTTTGTCCTTCGAACAAAGTGCAGCTCATTCTGGGAGAGGTTTAATCAGAGCAACAGGCCAAAACATCATCAAATCACACCGAACTTATGGCCTAACCCTGTTACGCTCACTAACTCATTGACATTTACTTGCTTACGGATCAGAAATCATCATGTGTTTTTAAACCTGGGGGCAAAAAGGTGTATTTTTGATGAATTACAGTAGCAATCACACACTTCATCTCATTTTATACAGCAACGGTCAAATTAAGTGAATAATAGTTTTAATAACTAATTCATCATCTATTAACTGGTGTGTGGCCGCTGTCTTCCAGACCTTTAAAATCTCCCTATTATTTAAAACAACTTACTATATACTAATATAAATATACATTTACCTAGATAACTAAATAAAGACAAACAATAGACTTATATTGCACTATATAAAGCAAATAATTTAACTTTAAATGAAAGCATTAGCACTTTATCCAGAGTGACTTGCAAATCATGGGCATTGCAATTGCAATGCACTGTTAAAGCACTATTTGCTTTCTTTTTGAATATTTTTATGTGCACAAAGCAACTGTTTCTAATATAAATCCACAAAAACGTGCTATAATGTGCACAAAACATGACAGTCATTGCATTTGTTTCTCAAATCACCCTACAGGATCAAAACCAAAGTGCAGGTTGCATTTACATAAAGCAACTAATTTAACTCTACAAATAAAAGCTTTTTGTATTTATATTTTAATTTAATTTATTTTAATTTATTCATTTACCTAATGCTTTTATGCACATTTAAATCAGTCACACTGCAATTGCATTGCATTATTAAAACATTATTTACTTTATTTTTAATTTTATGTGCATATAGCAAATGTTTCTGAAGGAAACCCATAAAACATGCTATAATGTGCATAAAAACGTCACAGTCATTGCATTAGTGTCTCAAATCACCCTAGAGGTCTAAAAGTGTTTATTGCATTTACATAAAGCAACTAATTTAACTTTTGAATTTGCATTTTAATTTATTCATTTTAGCTGATGCAGGGACATTGCAATTGCATTACATTATTAATTTTTTTATTTTTGAACGTTTTTATGAGTATATAGCTAATGTTTCTAAAGTAAACCCACCCAAACATGCACAAAACGTCACAGTCATTGCATGTGGATCAAAGCAAAGTGTGTGTGTCTCTGGCACAATCTGCACAACAACCAGCAGACGACAGGCGAACGATGTCTCACAAACCCACACGCTCACATCGTTAAAAGCCGATATGAAGTTAGGGAGGTCCTGGCAGGCACAGGCGGATCGCAGACAGCGGGGGGAGCGCGGCCTTCCAAAGCTCCGTGGAAGCATGTTTTGCATTCTGGGCCCTGTTAAGGGGTTCACAGGACATAAAAGCACGTTTACTCGGCTCGGCATAATATACTCCAGCGGGAGAGGCCCGTTTGACTTGGGCTGCGGCCGAACTTTGCATCAGCAATCTCTCTCTCGCTCTACGCCTCTCTCTCGTGCCTCACTATCAGAGGACAGTGTCTGTCACAAAAGCATCTCTGTACGTGCAGCAGGTGGCCCGCCGAGCGTCGTCCCTAGAGCCCCTCGTCCCGCTCGCCCTCAACCCCTGAGCAAACACGCAGGTGGGCGCTGACTATCAAAACACCTCCCAGCACGATCGACAAACCGGAGCATTTTCCAGCACGTTACTGCCAAACGCCACACACACAACAACAATCTCTAGATTTATACATTCGCTTCAGAACATGCACGCGTGCAATGCAATGCAACAGGCGGTTGTTTCTTATTTGGCATGAAAAGAGTCCATCCTGATCTCTAGATAAGCTTGACTAAGTTACATTTTTACCAGCTTTATCAACCGCCAGGCAAAAATCAGACGTTTGATCACTATTATTGAATACTGAAGTGAACTGAATCAACTTTGAACTAAATTGAATTGAATAATGATATTATTGTCTTCTGAAATTTTATTTGTTTCATAATTGATGAATTTTACAACAATGGCACTATTATTGAACTGAACTGAATTAACATTGAACAAAACTGAATTGAATAACGATACTATTGTGCTCTAGAATTGAATTGGTTTCATAATTGATTAATTGTACCACACTGACACAGTTTTTTAACTGAACTGAATCAACGCTGGACTTAACTGAGCTGAATTATGACTTTTGTAGAGCTGCTTTACCTATTGCAGAATTGAATGTTTCACAAGTGATCAATTTTACTACATTGACACTGTTATTGAACTTAATTAAATTGGCATTGAAATAAACTGTGCTGAAAAATGACACTATTGTTTTCTGAAACTGAATTTATTTCATAATTGGTGAATTTTGCAAGACTGTTATTGAACCGTATTGAAGCAACACTTAAATGAGAATTAATTGAATAAGGACACTATTGTCTTCTGAAATTAAATTTGTTTCATAACTGAAGAAGTTGGTAACAATACTGTCACTGAACTGAAACCACACTGAATCTGAATTGAGTTAAATAATAACAGTTGTCTTTTTAAATTGAATTTGTTTCATAATTGATGAATGATTCTGCAACACAGTGTTTTTGAACAGAATTGAGTAAACCTTGAACTGAATTGTGTTGAGCAGCTTTATAGAGGAATTGAATTTGTTTCATAATTGATGAATGATTTTACTAAACTGAATCAACTAAACTGAATCAATTATTGAACTAAACTGAATCAACATTGAACTAAAGTTGAATAAGTGTTGAATAATGACACTATTGTCTTAGAAATTGAATTTGTTTCATAACTGATTGATTTGGCAACATCACCACTGTTATTTTCCTGCTTATTACTGCAAAGCTGCTTTGAAACAATCTGTATTGTATAAAATGCCATATAAGTAAAAGTGACTTGACTTCTCTTCAAAAAGACATGTCTATTGCATGAACAGTGCAGATGAACGGCATTCTCAAGTTTAACACTCAGAGTTAGAGGTCTGCTCAAATCACTAACTCTAAGAGCAACAGTAACATTTATGTTTTAGCAAAACATTTTGGTGATTAAGCCTCAAAAATCAGCACAGACACTTACATTCGGCTGCTGAGGGCGTCGACGGGCCTGCCGTGGTGCGGAACAGGAGAACACAGTAAGAAGAGAGCAAAGAACCACCGCTGCAGAACCCATCTAGAGTATAACGTCCTCATCCTCGCTGGACCTGAGCACACACACACACACACACACACACACACATTACACACATGAAGATCAGCAAGGTATTCTGATGTGCATGTTCTGTTCACTTCTCTAAAGTGTCATTTAACTCATTCTTGTGATGATGTAGGGGAATTTGTTCAATCATACAGTGCAGCCTTTAAATGACTAAATACACTCTTAGAAATAGAGGTTTCTGTTACAGAAGAACCATTTCTGTCTGGTTCCCTAAAGAACCTTTCAGTGAACAGTTCTTAACCCTCTGGTGCTCCTCACATGGCAGTCAAAAATGATAGTTTCTTTATTATCTGTTAAACACTTTTTGAGCATAGACCTGAAAATTAAAGTTCCAACTTAAACAGTCGTAAATCTTGAATGCTTTGGAGCACAGACTTACGTTTGGTCTCTTTTTAATGAAGGCACTTGGCAGATTATTGCTAAGGTGGAAAAAGTAATAAAAAAAAATGTGAAAAAAAGTTATAGTAGTTCATTATGAAAATTGCACAAAAATACTATTTTCAAAATTAATATGAACTATATATTTCCCAAAACTGTGAGAAAATAAAAGCCATAAATCTAAACAAGTTGTGTTCCAAATTTAAAATTGATATCTCAAAAAACGAGCTTTTAGTGAGATTTAGTTTGGGCGCAGTACCAAACGATTCCACTAGATGAAATTCATTTAATTTCCAATGCGGTCATTTTTGACTGCGAGGTGGCCTTTTTCAGGACCATTTAACCTTTTTCGAATCATGTATATGACTTTTGTGTGTTTGTTCACATAACAAGTGCCAAAAACCAAGATTCCAAACAATTTAAAAAAAAAATCTTTAAAAAAAACCCCAAAACATAAACTCTTTTGGTCAAAAAATGACCAAAGAGCACCAGAGGGTATAAAAACCATTTTTAAAATGAATTTTAATATCCCTTTTCTTCTATAAAGAACATTTTGTGAAATGCAAATGCTTTGCAAAAATCCTTCATGAATGCTCTTCATGCACCCATCAATGCCAATAAAGAAGTTTTATTTGTAGGAGTGTTTTCTCCCACCCCATGCTGAAGAAGAGACGGCAGCTTTAACTTAAACCAGTTCAACATGTTGGAGAGAAAAGCCGAATTCCAGCAAGTCCTCTGAGCCACAACAAAAGCCCATGATGAGCAACAGGAGAGAAACATACTCACAATGATGCCTGTGTCTCCGTCTCTTCTGTCCTGTCAGACAGAGCGTGAGTCTCCTCAAAGTTTCCAGGCTGCGATTAAACACACACAAACAAATCAATGAGCGCTGTGGTCGGTCCAGGTGAACGCGTCCTTCAGCATTACGTCCTTCACTTTCTCTGAGATGATCTTGTCTGAAGTAAGCAGACCACAGCAAACGGGAATCCAGCGTGAGGTGAACGAGTGTGTGTTTTCCAGGTGGTCTGTCCCGCACTGACTGACTCTGCTCTGTTATAGAGAGGAGTCAGATGAACCCACCAACACTGTGATGGGAAAGTTTCAGAAGTGTCTATGCAGGTTGAGAGAGAGAGAGGGAGGAGAGGTAAAACAGCAAGTGGGAGGAGAGGGGAGGTGACGGCTGGGAGTCTCTGCCCGTATATAAGGAGTCAACTCTTCTGTTTACATGAGAGAGAGACAGACAGATGTGGCAAAACAGTGGCAGCAAAGTACTAGAAAGGTTTCTGTAGAAATTCAGGCCATTTTCTCCTATTAAAAAGTTCTAAAAGTGAGTAAATCCAAATCACACGCACATACTTCAGTCATACTTTATTATCAGTAGATCACATATCAAAGCAAGGGGCAATTATTTTGAAGTCAACATAAAATCTAAAAAGATTTGCGGATGTTATTCTTAAAATATGTTTTACTTCATAAACACCAGCATAATCGCAAACGACTTTTCGGTTGATATTATATTAGAATGATTTCTGAAGGTTCATGCTGCAATGATGCTGAAAATGCAAGTTTGATCACAGGAATAAATTACATTTTACAATATTTTCATATAGAAAACTGTTCATTTAAATTGGAATAATTTTTCACAATTTTACTGTTTTTATTGTATTATGATCAAATACATGCACCCTTGGTGAGCAGAACACTTGTTTTGAAAATAAAACAAACTTCTATCCACTAAAAATCACTAAAACATCAGTCATTAAGCAATATATACATATATTCTAAATAAAAGAAATATTGTTGTAAATATATGTTTTAAAAGAAAATACTTTTTCAGTCTTACAAACTGCAACATTTCAGTGTGACTTGTGAAATTTACTAGCAATTTCTGAGTGAAAATTGTTTCCAAGAAATCCTACACCAAAACATTTTTCAGTTTAGTCCGAAATATTTTTCCTCTTAACAATATTAAATGAGTCTACTAATAAGCAATTACTCTGAGCAATACTTTGTCCTCTAGGTTTGTGATCTCCTTTTCTTTTGAGAGTCAGTTAGCTGTCAGTTTGTGTTAGTAGGAAGTGATGTGTGCTGTAAACCTCCTCAGGTGATGTAGTTTGACATCTGGTGCAGGTGTGTGTGTGTGTGTGTGTGTGTGCTATTGTTAGCCTTTCGGTGCCAGATTTCAGAAACACGTAAGCTCTCGTAAGACGTTTTCTGCACTCCCTGATCTTTTGCTTTGGCCGGTTGTGAGCGCCTGTCAGTCAGCAGATTTCTGGAGCAGCACATCCTTTTTTGCATGTAACTTTCCATTTTTTATCATATGTATATGTGTGACGCTGGATATTTTGGCCCCCGGCAGCCCAGATCAGAAACACATGAACGTCTCATTCTTCACTGAATTTTCCATTCAGAGTTCTCAAGTTTAACAGGTTAGCTGAGGAAGACCACCACACTTAAAGCAAGAGTTCAGCCAAAAATAAAAACCTGTTTCAAACCTGTATGAGTTTCTATCTTCTGTTGAACACATAAGAAGATACTCTTATGGAAGTCAATGGCTACCATCAACCACTTACTGTTATTCTCTCTTCCTAGTTTAATTAGTAACGTCTAATATGAGAAGCTCATAAAAGAAGCAGCAATAATCCAGGAGCATTGAGTTCTGATGCAGGATTGGGATATTTTCCATACGTTTAACAACATTCATAGATACAATATGAATATGGACTTGTGTGTGTGTGTGTGTGTTGAACACTTACTGAAGGCTATTGTTAGCCTTTCGGTGCCAGATTTCAGAAACACGTAAGCTCTCGTAAGACGTTTTCTGCACTCCCTGATCTTTTGCTTTGGCCGGCCGTGAGCGCCTGTCAGTCAGCAGATTTCTGGAGCAGCACATCCTTTTTTGCATGTAACTTTCCATTTTTTATCATATGTATATGTGTGACGGTGGATATTTTGGCCCCCGGCAGCCCAGATCAGAAACACATGAACGTCTCATTCTTCACTGAATTTTCCATTCAGAGTTCTCAAGTTTAACAGGTTAGCTGAGGAAGACCACCACACTTAAAGCAAGAGTTCAGCCAAAAATAAAAACCTGTTTCAAACCTGTATGAGTTTCTATCTTCTGTTGAACACATAAGAAGATACTCTTATGGAAGTCAATGGCTACCATCAACCACTTACTGTTATTCTCTCTTCCTAGTTTAATTAGTAACGTCTAATATGAGAAGCTCATAAAAGAAGCAGCAATAATCCAGGAGCATTGAGTTCTGATGCAGGATTGGGATATTTTCCATACGTTTAACAACATTCATAGATACAATATGAATATGGACTTCCTCCAACAGTATATTTTACACTGCCAAATGTCATTTGATAACTAAAACTAAACTAAAACCATAAAAAATTCATTACATGAAAATTTTTTTAGAAATGAAATAATAAAAAGGTTTTTAAAAAAGTAAAAAAAACGATATAAATAAACAAAAATTTTTAAAATTATATTTAACTTATTTTATTTCGGCAGAGACAACTTGTTTCATTTTTGTTTAATTTAAAGTACTAACTAATTATATAAATAAGAATGAATAAATGCTTTAAAGACATATGTAAACAAAAACATATAAACAACTAAAAATGACAAAAACACACAACAAAATTACTAACATTTTTACTAAAATTAAAGCCAAAACACAAAAATATAAGAATAAAATCTAATCAAAAATATGAACAAACTATAAAATAGTAAAATAACACTGATTCATGTGTGATCTTCAAACTTTGCAAATCAAGACGTGTCACGTCAAGTTTGACACGGTTTCTTTCACGTCTATCACAAATTGTGATAATTTTTTCATTCATTTTTGACCAAATGGTTTTAGAATGACACAAGGGTGAGTAGATGAATGCAAATGATTACTTTTGGGATAATGGTTAAAAGAGGTCTGTATTTATTAATATCACTCTAAATTAATTGGCGTGCTGCTATTTTCGTCTGTGGACGCTGGCAGTTTTTAGGTGTTAAAGCAAAGGTCCATCCGCCTGTCACATCTGCACTCATCGGACGTCCTCTTTCCCAGAAGGGTGACTCATTATGGCTTCTCTGCAGATTAATTGATTTTCACAGCTGTCTTTTACATTAGTGTTCGTCCCGCCCACAGACTCACGCAGAGAACCCAAGGAATTCCTCCCAGCTGATGTGTTCGGTGTGTTACTCATCCAGAACGAGCCTCTTCTCGTCTCTGTCTCTCTCTCTATCCTGTAGTCGCTCATTATCTCATTCACTCAATCAACCACAATTCTCACATCCTCTTGCTAATTAACCATTAATTCACTCACAAGTGTTCAGAACAAATAGAGCGCTGCAGTGATGATGTATTTTTGTGGGCCAGCTCGAAACAACAAAATCCCAATTGGATTTTTCCATCGGCTTTTTGTATTTTGAAGCCCAAATACATTCGGCAGAAGTAAAAAGTTCAATGTAGGACTACACAATGCTCACGTGACTTCATCGCCACCAACATGAAGCTGCGTCAACTCTTTCAGTCTTTATTTAAAAACATTTTACCTGAAAGTCCAAGTTGGAATAGTTAGGTGCGTTCCAAATCGTGTACTTATGCACTATTCTATGATGTTCTGTAGTATAAATAGTGCGAATAGTGTGTTCACACGGAAAATTCCAAAAAGAAAATTAAATACCTGGATGATGCCGGAAAAATGAAGTGTGGAATGTTGGACACTTCATGCACCCAACTGTCATATGCATAGTGCATAAGTACATAGTGTATGAGTGCATAGTGTATAGTGTGCCATTTGGGATGCAGAAAATGTGAAAGCGACTAGTAATTGAATGAGTTTCCAAGCTAACAGGGAATGTTCTCAGAAAGTTCTCTTGAAGTTATAAAAACGTTCTTCGGGTAACGTTAAAGTTATCCTGTCTTTAATAATGTTCTCAAAATGTTAGCATAAAAACATTATTTATACATTAGTTTGTGTGCCATTTTTGAAATGCAACTACACTCTTAAAAATAAAGGTGCTTCAAAAGGTTCTTCAAGCGATGCCATAGAAGAACCATGTTTGGTTCCACAAAGAACCATTCAGTCAAAGATTCTTTAAAGAACCATCTCTTTCTAACCTTTTTATAATCTGAAGAACCTTCTTTCGCTACAAAGAAGCTTTTGTGAAACAGAAAGGTTCTTCAGATGTTAAAGGTTCTTTATGAAACTATTTAGACAAAAAGGTTCTTCTATGGCATCGTGAAGCACCTTTATTTTTAAGAGTGTAGTTGTTTCAGAATGTTCAGGGAACTTTCAAACATTCCAATAATGTTTGAACAGAATGGAATATGTAACCAAGAAAAAACTTTTTAAAACTGGTCGTTTTAAATGTTCAGAGAACATTCAGGATAACGTGTTTATAACTACATGGGACCGTTAGTAAAACATATTTTCGTTAGCTGCACTCTTAAAAATAAAGGTGCTTCACGATGCCATAGAAGAACCTTTTTGTCTAAATGGTTCCATAAAGAACCTTCAACATCTGAAGAACCTTTCTGTTTCACAAAAGCTTCTTTGTAGCGAAAGAAGGTTCTTCAGATTATAAAAAGGTTAGAAAGAGATGGTTCTTTAAAGAATCTTTGACTGAATGGTTCTTTGTGGAACCAAACATGGTTCTTCTATGGCATCGCTTGAAGAACCTTTTGAAGCACCTTTATTTTTAAGAGTGTGCGTCTATAGTCCCCATTTAGCCACTTGTGAGCAACCACCTTTTTTCAAGACAAGCAAAAGCTTAAAAAATGCAATGGGGTATTACTGATGAATTTTATGTCATAGAATGAAAAGTGAAACTATATCTTCAGGAATTTAAGCAAAAACCCATTCAAAAAACCCATTTGGGAAACGGAGGTGCTAAACTGCAACTCGTTTTCAAGTTTTCACCTACAAATATACATCATCTCTGCAGCTCTTTATTATTATGCAGCTCTCTGGAATGCTGGATTGTGACTGGTCGGTCACGGGATTCTGCAGTCAAATATTTTTGTATTAAAATAAACATATTTCTCAATTAAATAGGATACAAAAGCACCACCAAAAATGTAGACGTGATTTTATCTAAGATGAATTGATAGTGCCCTACTTTTTTATTTCTCTTAGATGTTCCCTCAGAAATACATCAGAGTACAGGATGCAAACAGACTAAACGTTACGTAGGTATTTCTAACTCTGCTTTTGATTGGCTTCAGATGTGTTTTGCAAAAAAAAAACACTGCATACAAATGTGTTTGTGTTTACTAATGCTGGCAAACGCAACGGATTTTGACCGAACATCTCACGTCATTTAGCTCAAGGCAGTCCGGTTTTCTCTTTGAAGCAAACAATATAAAAGTCGTCCTATTTACAAATCAAGTGAATTACTGTCTGCTGAGGTGTGAGTCTGTCACTGGCTGCCGGTGACGCAGTTTACCTGATTCACACAGGTTAGTGTGGAATAGCATGCAGACTCTCGTATTTTACAGGCATGTCAGAAGTTGCTTGCAGTCACACAGGTCTTGTCTACCTGTTTCAGCCCCTGTGGCCCACACACACACACACACACACACACACACACTTATATAAGGGTTTCATGTTGAGTTGGAAAAAAAGACCTCATTCGGGGGCACTCTGTAGAGGATACTTTACCTGCATATAAACAGGTGAAAAAAGTCTTTCCTGGCAGGAGGCGTGAAGTGGGGACAGCGCCAGGAAAGCTGTTTTAGATTCATCCAAAATTACTGGCTTTTGGCAGCGAGCGGCATACAGTACACAAAACAAATGTTCACTTTTAATCTTACTGCTTTTTTCCCTCCATCTCTCCCTCCCTCTCTCTCTCTCACATCGTCTAATCTCTCTACGAATCCAAGGACGTTTTATTGGACCGACTGTATCGGATTCTATATTGTCTGTTAAACACTAGTATGGGAGCGAAACGAGACTACGGCGATTATTGACATTTACATTTACAGACTTCACAGAATCTGCACGCGAAAATGTTTCCAGATGTTTAAGTCTGTCAAAATTCTAAACCTTAATGCATCTTTTTATGAACAATTAATTGGTCTAATGTGCATGCCATTATTATAATTCAACACATGTCTCATAGATGCTGGTCTTAAAGGGACAGTTCACCCAAAAATGAAAATTCTGTCTATATTTACTCACCTTCAAATTATTCCAAACCTATCCCTGGCTTTCTTCTGCGGAACACACAAACAAAAAGATATTTTGAAGAATGTAGGTTGACGGTAGCCATTGACTTCCATGGTACTTTTCTTCATACTATGGAAGTCAATGGGTACCGTTAAAAATATCTTCTTTTGTGTTTAACAGATGAAAGAAATGAATACAGGTTTGGATCCATTTGGGGGCAAGTAAATGACAGAATTTTAATTTTTGGTTGATCTTTTCCTGTAGGTTGACGGCACCCATTGACTTAGCCTACTTAATAATTTTTTCCATACTGTGGAAGTCAATGAGTACCATTTGCTCACCAACCTTCTTCAAAATATTTTCTTTTGTGATCAAAAGATGAAAGAAACTAATACAGGGTTGGAACAATTTAAGGGCAAGTAAATGACAGAATTTTTATTTTTGGGTGAACTGTCCCTTTAAGTTTCGGACCGATCAATCGAACTAAGTATTAAAGGCTCAGAGAGCTGGCGTGGGACGGGCTAAACCAGAAAATATCCCCCCGTTGTTCTTCATCCCAGAATAAAGTCACATTCGGCAGCGTGAAGCGTCTTGGCTGCTCTTCCGTGGACTTCGCTCAGTTCTCTCCAGAAGTCATAAAGTATTATATCACACCATTTACTTTACGATTCAGACTTGCGCCGAACAGAACGTCAAACCGAAAACCCTTTTTGTCACATTAATGCATCTTTTTTTTTTCATGTAGTAATTATAAGCAGAGTTTGTTTCTTGAGATTATAGAGAGCCCAGAGCCAGAGAGACACTGCTCTGATACTTTAATGAAGATCTGAATATGAATATGAATGCACATGACAGATGAGTCTTTATGATATTACAGTCAAGTCTGATAAAGCTAAATCCCTAGTTTGGAAACCTTGACATAATGAAAGGTTTTATGCATTTAATGTGTTCAAATGGAATATAGTTGCTTTCTATTAGAATTTTTATATCAATATGGTACAAGATTATCCTATTTAAATCAACGTGATTAACCGAGTTAGGTCAAAAGTAATCTAAAAGTAATCAAAAATTAAATGCATGTAATTTGTGTAATGTGTAATTTTTTGTCATGTAATTTTGAATCGTAATTTATATATATATATATATAATTTTTTGAGGTCTTGACGTTTCATTATATTAATATTGCTCAGAGGTTGCTAATTTATAGCTCAGGAGACTTAATGTTGTTCTGGGTTATATAGATATAGATATATTGATATAGATTTGATATAGATACATTGATATAGAGGAAGAGTATGGATAAACCTGAGCAAAGTGTAAGACACTGTTGAGATCTCTTGTGAAATGCTTGAGGAGACACATCTGACTGAGAATCATGAGACTTTAGTAAATGGACAAATGTAAAAAGGCCTGCAAATTGGTTTTGCATTTAATCTCAGGAGAAACCTGTGAAATATTAAGGATATCCCATTTGTGATTGTTCTTTTCTATAAAGCTTGATATGGTTCTTCATATGAGAACTGAATTCTGTTATGGCAAAATAATGTACATGTAATGCACATGAAGATCCAGACAGCTACAACAAATGACTTCACTTTCAGATGAACCTCTTCATCAAGATCCAATCTGATCTGCTCTGCTCTCACACAGTGAGGATCAATGCAGCGCTGATTTACTGTCATCTCTATCAAACACACAACAACAACATACTGTATTTTCTGAGCCGTAGACTGGCGCACAGTACGGAGAGAAGCTTTCACTGAACTTCATTAGGATTCACACGTGCTTCATCAGAAATCTGTGAAAGCCAGTAGAAAAATTCACTAAAGAGATCTCTTTAATATATCTCAATCGTTTCTCCTCGACAGCAATGAGGCATTTGCTCGAGTCTCCTGCTTCTCAGATGTTTCTCCTGAGAAAGTGAGTAGTCTCACATAAGAGTTGCAGAGGAAATCTCAACAATGTCTCAAACTGTGCTCAGATTTGCCAAGATACAAAAGTCTGCCATGGAAAGACTCAATATGAGCTCAAACATTTCTCATTAAACTCCACACAGAGCCAGTGATCCACATTTTTATACTCTTACTATATGTGAGCCTGGAGCACAAAACCAGTCATAAGTGTCAATTTTTCGAAAATGAGATTTATACATCACATGAAAGCTGAATGAATAATCTTCCCATTGATGTATGGTTTGTTAGGATAGGACAATATTTGGCTGAGATACAACTATTTGAAAATCTGGAATCTGAGGGTGCAAAAAAATCTAAATATTGAGAAAATCATCTTTAAAGTTGTCCAAATGAAGTTCTTAGCAATGCATATTACTAATCAAAAATTAAGTTTTGATATATTTACGGTAGGAAATTTACAAAATATCTTCATGGAACATGATCGTGACATAAAAGAAAAATCGATCATTTTGACCCATACAATGTATTTTTGGCTTTTGCTACAAATATACCCCAGCGACTTAACACTACTTTAGTGCTCCAGGGTCACATATATCATAACTATTGACTCATTTGTGTCTGTTTTTTATTTCTCCTAAAATAAATCAACTGAGACAAAGTTGAAACTTAAAGGAGATCAAACAGTGTAAAAAGTGAAAAGTCCACTTATATTAAGTAGTTATTGCTACCTGATGTGATCCTAAAATCACTTGCTGGTGAATCTACTATAGGTTGATTCAGTAATATTTCGGGATAAACTAAATAAAAAGTCAGAAATCTCAATAGGAATGCAAACATTTCTCATTAAATGCTACACAGAGTGAATAATCTTTTTTCTAAAGCTCTATATTCTTACTGTACGACTACTGAATGTATAACTATTGATTAATTTGTCTGTTTTTATTTCTCCTAACAAAATAAATCAACTGAAAGAAAGCTGATACTTAAATGAGAGCAAACTGCAGTGCAAAAAGTGAAATGTGCCATTATATTAAAGAGTTATTGCTACCTTTATGTGATCCTAAAATGACTTGCTGGTGAGTCAATGATTGACTCATTTGTGTCCGTTCTCATCTCTAACAAAATGTGTGTCTGTTCACAAAATAAATCAACCGAGGCTTAGTTGATACTTCACTGAGACCTAAACGCAGTGTAAAACGTGCAGTTATGCAGCATTTCTTCTTGTTGGTAAATGAACTTTTGACTGTTTTTTTGCGTTATATTTCTCCTAACAAAACTAATCAACTGAGACCAAATTGATACTTGAACAAGATCAAACTGCAGTCAGAAAAGTAAAAAAGTTCAGTTATATTACTAAAGTTAGTGCCTTATGTGATCCTAAATGACTTGTTAGTGAATTTGATTCAGTAATTAAGTAAGATACTACAGTGTAAAGCAGATAAACTGAGAGAACTTCAAGTTTCTGGAGCTATTTGAGAAACATCACAGCAGTAGGAGAAACAGACAACTACCAACTAAAAGAAAAAACATCAATATTTCACAAACACACTGCGTTAAAAGTGAAAGATAAGAAAAATACTCACTATAGTGATTCAGATGGCAGTCCACAAAGTTGCCTTAACAATCCATAAGGATATTTCTTCTGCTGCTCAAAATCTTTGGGTTTATTGTCCTTGAGTTTGTCTCGACGGCAGGTGAAAGAGATGCTGAGACTCAAGCTGAGTCTGAAGCTGTCTGGACTCGCTGAGCTCCTCTGCTGCTTGTGAAGCACATGAACGTTCAATATATATATATACGAGCTTCAGGGCTGCTTCTGACATCACTGAGTAGTCAACATCACCGCCTCACACACACAAGACATGCTGCATATGAAATGAGATGATGCCTCAACACACACACACACACACACACACACATAAAGTGTGGGTTGTGGGGTTTTATATCCAACCGTATGTCAAAGTAACTCATATGTCTTTTTTTAAAACAAGAAAATCACATGTTATTCGTTTTTCACAGTATTTTTTTCTGTGTGATTCACACCGGTTGGGAAAAAAATAAATCAGACACAGGGGCACATACTTTCCCAGAAAACTTGCCCTGTCGCGTCACTGGTGCACACGGCGATACCCAACACTGTTATTTCACTAGCTTAAACTTTTCTCAAGAACATTAATGTTATCATTTAAAAGCCAAATGTGAAAACAGCCGAGGAGACGCAGCAGCCTCGATTGTCTCTGTGATGTGGCGTTAAACAGCGTGCCGTGATCATTAAGTCGGGCCCTCGTGTGGAGGAATGCGAGCGAGTGTGTGACTCAAGTTTTCAGCCCACTGCTGTGTGCTTAGCGTCACAGCTAATCTGAGAGAGAGAGAGCGAGCTGGTCTGAGCTGAGGTTGTGCTATGTTTAGTTGCGGACACTGCTGGTGGTTTGGGCTTTACTGCGCTGGATCCTTCTCGCAGCCGCTGGCCCGTGCCGTGTGTATATGACCTGCTAGCGTTCCCTCGCTGACTGGGAAGGGCACCGCAAACACTAAAAACACCAGACGATTACAGTATTAGGGTCTGGACATAGTCTGTCTGGACTGAAGATTATCCGTGGTGTAGCTGTGGGCAGATTGTATGCGTTTCGCTGCAGGAGTTCATGAGTGATTTGTGGCATTGATAACAAGTGTTTGTTTACTTGTGGGTTAGGGGTCTTTATAGTTTTGCATAACCGGAATTTGATCTGCATAAAGTCTGGTTCAGGTTGCGGTTTGTCCTGCCCATGAAGCATGTGCTTGGGAAGGGTTTGCTTTGTTTATAGGCGCGCAAGTTGGGTCTGATAGGGTCAGAATGAATGCCACATGCTTATAATAAACATAACATTAGTTAATTGCATTAGTTAACTTGAACTAATAATGAAAAAGACTTCTAAAGCATTTATTTATCTTCGTTTCATGTCAATTTCAACATAAAATCAAAACTCGTATCTGTTGATATTATTTAATGGACCTGAACTAACATGAACTATCATTTAATATTTGTATTTTTTATTAAAGGGAAGGTTCACCCAAAAATGAATTTACTCACCTTCAAGTTGTTCCAAACCTGTATGAATTTCTTTCGTCTGCTAAACACAGAAGGTATTTCGAAGAATGTGGGTGATCAAAAAGGTTGACGGTAGCCATTGACGTCCAATGACTTGAAGTCAATGGCTACCATTAATGGTTTGGTTACCTACATTCTTCAAAATATGAGTAAATGATGACAGAATTTTCATTTTTGGGTGAACTATCCCTTTGACTAACGTTAACAAAGATTAATAATGTATTAATTAATGGGAACTTGTTATAAAGAGTTACCAATGCAACTAATCATATGAGCGGCACACAGATGAATCCCAGCAAACGTTCCTCTAATGTTTGCACACGGTTCGAGTTTGATTTTGGGTTTTTTGGTAACCAATTCTGACCCTGGAGCACAAAACCAGTCATAAGGGTAAAATTGAAACGTATGCATCATCTGAAAGCTGAATAAATAATGATGCATTGATGTATGGTTTGTTAGGATCGGACAATATTTGGTCGAGATACAACTATTTGAAAATCTGGAATCTGAGGGTGCAAAAAAATCTAAATATTGAGAAAATCATCTTTAAAGTTGTCCAAATAAAGCTCTTAGCAATGCATATTGCTAATCAAAAATGAAATTTTGATATATTTACGGTATGAAATTTACTAAATATTTTTATGGAACACGATCTTTACTTAATATCCTAATGATTTTTGGCATAAAAGAAAAATGGATAATTTTGACCCATACAATGTATTTTTGGCTGTTGCTACAAATATCCCCCAGCGACTTAACACTGCTTTTGTGCTCCAGGGTCACAATGTTCTAGGAACGTTCTGTGAAGGCTCTATTGTTTGTAACCATTAACGAACATTGCAAGGAGGCAACCTAAAAAGAACACATAGCACATTGCCTAAATGTTATTTTTAGGTTTTATCTTTATGATCATAACGTAACCTTCCTAGAATGTGCATGGGAGGTTTTTCATGACAACCTAATGAGAACGTACAAACATGGAATGTTCCCCCAAGGTTTGCACATGGTTCTTGTTTTGTTTTTTGGAACAAATTCTTAATGTTCTATGAACATGCTCTTAAGGTTCTACAGTTTGTGATTATGAGAACTTACACAGAACATGCTCTATTATGGTTAATCTATAAACTAATTGGTTCTGGGAACCACAAACTGGTGGATTCTAGGCTTCTGCCTTTCACTGCTAAATGGATCAGACATCCAGAGGACAAGCAGTTCTACATAATTCTACAGCTCAGTCTAAAGACCATGCAAAGGGTTTCTTTCATCTGAAGAAGATATTTCAATGATTGCACAGGAACAAACAGTTGGCGGCAGCCACTGACTTCTGCAGCATGGAAAAACAAAACAAAACAAAACATGGAAGTCAATGGCTACCGGCAAATGTTTGGTTACCAATATTCTTCAAAATATCTTCTTTTGTGTTCAACACAAAACAGAAACTCATTCAAGCTTTGAACAGCATGATGGTGAGCAAATTAATTTTCACTTTGGGTGAAGCATTTTTCATTTACAGTTTAGTCATAAACAGTGACAAGACCGATAGCAAATGAAATGAATTCATTGCAAATTAATTCTGAAACCTTGCAAACAATAATCAGTAAATCAAATAAATCATTAATACTACTGTGTGGATTTAGAAAGATTGTGCACAAGTCGGATTGTTACTGTGCTTTCGTTTTTTTTTTGTCCTTTTTGGAGTTTGACATGACTATAAATTGTAATTGATTTTTGGGTGAACTATTTCTGGCACAGGACTCATGTTTAAGACTCAAAGTTATTGTATCAAGTACATTTGGACTGTTGAAGCAGCAGGCATGGCCCGAATCAGGAGATTTCTTGAGGTCCAGTGCTGGTGCTGTGTGGTCCGTCTCGAGTGCCAGCGAAACACTTCTCAAACACTTCACACTTTGATCTGAAACTTTCATACCTGCTTCTTCCTCAGGATGTGACTGGAAATACATCCACCTGGCAGTGATGGTGGGATTTTGTGTGTATGTACGTACAGCGCCGTTCCACTTTCTTTCCAGACGAAACACTTAAGGGCAATCTTGACCCGGAGGTCAGCCGAATTCCTCAGCTCTTTTTCTTCTTCGGAGGTAAATGGCTGTGGTTTCTGTGGAAGGCAGGTATTTTATACCCATACCAGGCATCCCACTTTAAACACATCCGTCTCTTTGAAGGCACGAAAAAGAAGATGGATGTTATGGGGTCAGTCCAGGGCCTTCCATCACATGTTCCTCTGCTCGCAGGTCCAACAGAAACGACGGCTACTTTAATAATCAAACACTCGCAGGGCAAGTGAATGAGTTCGTTCTTCTGTTGGCTGGCATGAGAAAGTCAAGCAGACGCTCTTTCAGACTGACAGAAAGACAAACTGCTGAGAAAAATCTCAGGACGCCAACAAATATTCACAGATTTAAGGTACAAACAACATTGGACCCCATTGACTTTCATTGTATGGCAAAAACAGACATTTCAAAATAATGGTGAACTGTTCCTTTAACACCACATTAATTCTTATTTTTCCCAGAAACAGAAAAAAAACCTGCCGTTCAAAGATTTGGGGTCGGTTCATTTTTGATTTCTTTAAAAAAAAAAAAAAATAATAATAATAATTTTATACAGCTGTTAAATTGATCAAAAAAATTTTTTTGAATAAATGCTGTGTATAATAACTTTTAATCTATCAAAGAATCCTGAACAAGTTTTCCCAAACTTTTGAAAGGCAATGTAAATCGAAGAAACTTGTAACCGACTTGTCCGATTCCATTGGAAACCGAGGAAAACTCTTTCATAACCGTATAACACATGCAATGTTACACTCGACTGGAAAAATTAATTAGCAAGATTTGATATTGCTCATCAAAGCGTCGCAAATAGCTGAAAGAAGATGCAATATGTTGCACATTTAACAGACTGTCTGCTTTATTACAGCAGCATTGAGCTGAACTGTAGTTAAAATGCTTCCACATGTGTGCATTCACAGTTTGTTGTGGAGACAGAGCTGAAATATACAGATATGGAACGCATTTTAGCGAACTACAATAAGAAGCCTCTTTGAAGGGCCGTAATTAAGACCAGTCTGTGCTAATTGAATTAGCCCAAGATGCTCCTGATTACTTCTCGCCCACTACAAAGAGGAAGTTGTCACTTTAGATGTATTTTAATCGCTGTGATAAAAAACAAATAACAGTCTAGTGGAAAAATAGTGGTGTTAAAAGTATATTTGACGGGTTAAGCTGTTTAGTTAACTAAAACTAAAATCATAAAAAACATTTTTGAAATAATAGAAATAAAATAAATATTACCAGTTAAAATAAACATTAAGATATATATATATATATATATTTTTCCAGCTAGTTGCCAACATTTCAAATACTTATTTTGCTAAAATAACTAAAACTGACTGAAATAAAAACTATAGACACACACACACACACACACATATCTATATTAGTGCTGTCAAATGATTAATCGTATCCAAAATGAAAGTTTTTGTTCACATAATATACAGTATATGTGTGTGTACTGTGTATATTTATTATGTATATATAAAGACACACACATACTGTATATATTTTGAAAATATTTACATGTAT